AGGTCCGGATCATCGACGCCAGTTTCATCTGGACTGAACCTCACTCAAGACGTATCAAAGTCAAGATCACCATTCAACAGGAGGTGGCCGCAGGGACAATTCTGCAACAGGCATTTGTTGTCGAGTATGTCGTTCATTACCAGCAATGTTCAGATTGTCTTCGTTCGTTTTCCCCACATACGTGGGTCGCATCAGTTGTAAGTTACCAGTTTGGCAATTTCCCGAGGGTAATAGCTGTGCTAACTCACTTGGCAGCAAGTACGACAAAAGGTTCCGCATAAGCGAACATTCCTTTATCTAGAACAACTTATTCTTCGTCACCGCGCGCATCAGGAAACCAATAACATCAAGGAAGCAAAGGACGGATTGGACTTCTACTTCAGCCAGAGAAGCCATGCAGAGAAGATGGTTGAATTCCTTTCTTCGGTTGTGCCTGTCAAGGTGAAGAAGGCATCAGAGCTTATCTCTATGGACATTCATACATCGACGAAGTCCTACAAGTTCTCCTACTCGGTCGAAATAGTCCCTATTTGCAAGGATGACCTCGTCGCTATCCCTATCAAATTAGCCCGGTCGATAGGTAATATCTCGCCACTGACACTATGCTACCGGATCGGAACTACAATTCAACTCTTGGATCCCAACACACTACAGACTGCTGAGGTTCCTGGCGCGACCTACTGGAGATCGCCGTTCAAGAATCTCGCGGATGTCACTGAGTTGGTTGAGTTCATCGTGATGGATATTGAGCCGGTAGGCAGATCAAACGGGCGATTCCACCTTGCCGAAGCAACTGTTGCTCGTGCGTCGGACTTGGGCTCAAATGACCAGACCTACTTCACCCGTACTCATCTAGGCGGGATTCTCCATGTTGGAGACTCTGTTCTAGGCTACCATCTGACTGGCTCGATGTTCAACGACCCCAACTATGATGCTATTGAGGCCAGTAACCAATACAGCTCTACGATTCCTGATGTTGTTCTTGTCAAGAAGCACTATACTCGCAAGAAGAACAAGTCCCGCAACTGGCGAGTCAAGCGTATGGCTCGTGAGCACGAGGAGGAAGCACTCCAAGCCTCTACCGGCGGAAGCCGCAAACAGGAACAGGAACGTGAGCGTCTCGAAGCCGATTTCGAAATGTTCCTTCGCGACGTTGAGGAAGACCAGGAGCTGCGCGGCACTATCGAGCTATACAAGGCCAGGAAGAACCAGAATGCTGGTGGTATGGAGATGGACGAAGACGATGATGATGATGAGGGCGTGCCGAAGATCAACATGGACGAGTTGCTTGATGACTTTGATGAGCTGAACATGAACGATGACGAATAAGTTCTGTCGAACTACAATCATGATTTCACACCAAGGGTCCGGCGTTCATTGGCGACATTGATTTGGCGGTATAAAAGTTAGGTCCGAGTACATAGCAAAAGCAGATCTGCTAGAATATTGAAATCAACAAAGCTTGTTTCGCTGATAAGGATATCCTTTAAAACTTGTACACGAATCGACTAGAAAATCTTCCCCAGCACCCTCTTTGTATCATCCTCCAAAGAAGCTGCACCGTCCTTGATTGTATGGCGGCCCTTCTTAACCTCATTCTGCTTGAATGTTCTCCTAACCTTGAGCTCCTTCGTCTGCTGCCCTCCTGCATCACCAGCCTCCATCTTCCTTTTCTTCTTTTCTTCATTCTTCCTCTGCATTCCATCAAGAACCTTACCCGTCTCAACACCCTGAAGGAAGACCTTATCCTCTTTCCTAGCCCGAGAATCTTCAATACGCTGCTTAGCCTCCCTCTCCTGTCTCTCCCTCTGCACTTGTTCCATCAGATCTCCCCATTTGAATCCCTTCAAATACTTCATATTCCACACATCATCATGGTACCAACCCCCCTTCCTCCCCCCAACAATCGATGCATTCAACGTCTCCGCGCAAAGCTTAGCCGTCTTCTTTGACGCAAACTCAACCCATCCATCCGTATACGTCTTCCGCTTATTCGACCTCCTCCGCGGCGCAGAAGCCGGCTTCACAGCAGGCGACAAAAACACCTTCGTAATCGGCCCGAACGACCTCGCCTCAAGCATACTCTTCAACGCAAACGGTTTCAAATAAGGCGGTAAAGACGAGAGATACACAACCCCGGTCTTGTTCTTCTTCGGCGGCTTGCCTTTGTCTAGCGGTTTCCGCTTGCTAGTCTTGGTTTCTTGTTCTGTGACGTCTAGATATTGGGCGCCGGAGGTTTCTTGTTGTTCGTCGTCGTTATCGTCGCTGATATTGTCATCTTCGCTTTGCTGCTGGGGTTTTTTGGCTTTGCGTTTGCTCTTGCTTAGTTTTAGGTCTTCGTCGGAGTCGTTGTCGCTTTGGTCGGATTCGTCGTCTTGGGTTTGGGTTCGTCTGCGCTTGGAGATTCGGGCTTTACTCTCTTCTGCTGCTTCGGAGTCGTAGCCGCGGTCGTTGTCTTCGTCGTCGCTTGGGGCGAGGTCGAGGAATTCGTTTCTCTTGCGGGTTGTCATGTTTTCCCTTTTTGTTTGTCAATAGTAGTGAGGGGTATTCGTTGGAGGGGTTGTTGTGTTTCTTTTCTCCTTTTTGGGGTTTCGAGGATGTATGCAATTTTCAGATCGACTGGGCTTAAAATGATTGTTCTGGAAAGGCCGACAGCTTTTTTTGTTCCGCTGTTGGTCTGTGCTTTCGTGCAGGTGGCTGGCCAATCAGAGGGGGACTTTGGGTACATACTTTAAGGTATAGTATTAGGTGGAGGTAGTATACTGAGTGAAGATTAATTTGCTTAGTCCTGATGGTGATTTACTTCTTTTAAAACTCTTTTCAATAGGTATATTCTTCATCTATAAACACTCCTGTTCATGCACAAAATTCCAACTATGTGCCCTATGTACAGTACCACGAGAGGCAGCTCTTGCCTCACTATGCAAAGAATGGGTATGAACAATGTCAAACGTGACAACCAAACGACGCCAATACCTCTGAATCTAGGTAAAATGGGAAGGGAAAAAAATATGTAAGGAAAACAGTAGAAAACTGGAGTCCGCCTGGCAAGATGTCTCGAGACTTGCCCAAATGGAAAGGTCGAAGCGAAATAAAGAGACACAGTCAGTCGCTTCAGCATTCTCAAATCCCCAGGGACCATTTCATCCGCTCGTACACGAAAAAGCTCACGGCTGTCATGGGAATGATCTTGAGGTATCCAATGCTCAGGCCAACCCAGAACCCCCGGAAGCCTCTCTCGAGCCAGATCGTCCGGGCCGTCTCGGCGATTCCTAGTCGATGACCATCGCCCACTACTCCTCCTACTTGCATTCGCCGCCGGACGACCTCCAGCGGGTAGGATGACGTCTGAGAGACAAGACCGGCAAGGGCCCCAGAGAAAAGTTCCGCCGCCGCGGTTAGTTGAGCGCGATGTGAACCTTTCTTGGACTGCGATTCAGATCCTGGAATAGTTGTGTATTGCGAGAGTCCCGGTGACCGAAGCCAGTCACCAACGGTGTCATGCGTAAGGAAAGACACTCCCGCATAGGGAAGCATTCCCAGGAGGGTAGGCGTAAATCCACGATAAAAGTTCGCCAGTCCAGAGCTAGGAACTACTTTATTCACGGCAGAAGAGACTTCGGCCGTGGCAGTGACTGCAGCTGAGGCCGAGGGGCTGGACGACAGTCCGCTTGGTACGGAAGGCGGCGAAACCCGCTCGCGGTAGATCTGTCGGAAAATATCCGTGAAGGAAGAGCGAGAAGATCGCTTAGTCTCGAACGCCAATCGTACTCGAATTAGCTCCAACGGATACGTAAAAAAAACTGATGTGATCCCCGCCAAACTCCCAGAAATCAAGCGGCGGAATGGTGTTTCCTTGTCCCGAGACGGGATTATCACCGCTCGGATCTGTTCATATGCGAGAAACTTGATGGCGGCATAAGGGAAAATGCGGAGAAGGGTCGCAGAATGACCTTTAAACAGGCCTCTCCTCCCTTCGTGACGATTGATGTCCCGAACCGCGAATAACAGGCCAGACCAGCTGCCTGTATACTTGGCGAACTGCGGGTTCGACGCCTGGAAAAGGATTTTGACACGGTCAAGCGGCGCAACTACCGTTTTTGCCTATAAGAACAACAGTTAGCATTCGACATACTCACGACACTTCAACTAGCACGATAAGCTTAAACGTTGTAACGTACCGCACACCCCGCCACACCCCCCGCAAGGCCACTCCTTAATACATAGTCCAAGCTCCGCTTGTTCATCTGTTGCGGGCCTCCAAGGCCATTATTTTTATAACCCGGTGACGAAGCATCATCGACGGCGGTCGTTTGTGTCGTGGCTACCGCCGTGTTCCTACTTATATCACCAGTCGTGGGCCCTCGTGCTGGTCTTGAATCTGCGACCTGTTCCATCTGAAGATGCGAGTGGGGGACGGCGTCCGATATTACGCGATAAGGCTGAGGGTTTCTGGGGCTGATTGGTGATGAATCATGTACATGTTCCGGTGCGACAGCAGACATGAGTACAAGTACATCCAGGCAGGAAGCCCGGTTGGATGGTGGTGAGGAGAATCCGACGTCAAGGTCACGGGCTACCGGAAAGTAATCAATGCCATGGATATCTCACAAAAGAATTTCAAGCCGGAGATAAGATGGATATCCCCAACGGAGAAAGAAGATAACCTTCCGAATGACAGACAGCAAATAACAGGTAAATTGCAGTATCCTCTATGAACGACACACAGAACAATTATCAATTAGAAAAAACGACCTGATCGCATTCTTCCTCCTCCGGGTGGAAAGCGGAAACTCGGCGGAAGTGACGTTACGCCGCTGACGTGCCGATACGACCCGCCTCCCTTTAAATAGGGCCTGCGTACGGTCTTAATACGCGACGGTAACCGAGTGGCGGATGTTTGCTGTCACATGACTGTCGGGTGGCCAACGGCTGACCACGGATTTGTCAACTTGACGAAGATCCAGTCGTAGTAAGTAGTAAGTACACAGGTAAAATATCCAAATGGTGCTTGGAAAACCAGTTATGTTCTCATTGATGGTGCTCTATTATGTCTCTATGTCCTGATGCTTCATCTGCAGTGCAACAAGTTTTCCCTCCCGTCAGCTGAAAAGCTACTAGAGAGTTGATCTATATACAAACGTCTACCAACTAAACTTTCCTCAGCTCCCCGATGCAATATATCCTCACTTTGTACATAAAAGATATGTGTTGCGATCCAAACTTTCATGGTCTCGTTGCTCGTGTATACCAGTGAAAAGACCTTTTTATTTGCTTGCCGCTCCCCCAAATGTATCCTTAAACCCCATAAAAGGTCCCATAAAAACGCCGACCGAGTCAAAAACGGAAGTTCTAGAAGTGGTAACGTGAGCCTTGCCTTGTCAAGGGTTTGCCCTGGCGATTAACTGCCTTGATCTCCTTGGGGTCGTCAGTGGCCCTCTTGGCTCGCTTGGTTGGTCGCGAAGCATCTATATGAAGATGTCCGTTCTCAGACATAGCCGTCGTGTTATGCCAGCTCAGGCAACGGTGCTTGTGGTCGTCCACGTAGGTCTTGTTTCTGGTCGTCATCCGCTTCGTGGGTATCTCCTCCGACTCAGCCCTTTCGGCCGTCTGCGCAAGATATTCCGTACGGAACTTCATGTACTTGACAATGTTGTCACGCTGAAGCAACAGCTCTTTGCGTAATCTCAACTCTCGATTGCCCCGTGAGTCAAGCCAATCGATTAGTTTGTCCAAAGCATCAGGGTCATCATAGTAGCCCCATTCATCCGCGTTCGAGAGTCTGGTCGGTCCTTCTTCGGCCTTCTTGCGATCCGCTGGAGTCATATGGAATTCTTTCTGGTATTGCTTCTTCTGATCTTCAGGCACGTCAATGAACCCTACACGCTCCATTTCGTCAGGGCCTTGAACCCATAAGCGGCCATTGGCAAATTGTGCCTCTGCCGTTGAACTGTTCGGCATCCCCCCGTATGGCATTGCGTTTCGCTCGAACCACCAATATCGGTTACAAAACCTGTCCTTTCCAAGACATCTGGTACGTGGGCAATCGGCTTCTCTTAAATCGTTGTCCACCACGTCGATCTTCTCTTCGAGCTTTTCGATGTTCGCTTTTTGGTCATCGATCTTTTTCAGCACCCTCTGATACTGCTTCGTGCCCTTCGGCTGTTTCGCCAACTGTTCCTTTCGTTTCTGCTCTTCTTCGTGCTTCCGTTTCCTCTCAAGAACCCTATCCAATCCTCCGCGCAGCGACCGTTGGGGAACTTCCTCTTCCTCTTCGGAATCCGCGACTTGATCAGACTCTCCGTCAACTCCGGTCATCTTGGAGTCTTCCAGTGCTTCCATTTCTGGCGCTGGAGAGGGGGACTTTTCTGGCTCAGGCTGGAGTGCTTTCCGTTCTTGGTGTAACCGTCGAAGTTCTTCGAGCCTGGAATAATATGTCAACCAAACACACTGTTGGAATGTACATCGATCTACTTACCCTGCTTTACGAGCCTTCTGATATTCGATCTTCTCTTTGCGGAACTCGGTCATTTGGTTACTACATTCCTCTAGATAATTTCGAATGGCTTTGGTCTCCAGGCTGAGCATGCATATGATTTGAAGGGCTTCAACGCGCAGGTTAATATCGAGGGTAGCATACTGGCGCTGGACAGTATCTTGGGTCGGCTCCGCATCAAGAGGAGCTAAATGCTTGAGTATATCATTACAGACCTTCTCCATCCGTGGGCGAGCGGATAGTTGGTGCAGTAGCCCTACCATGACCAACTCCCAACCACCGTTGCGGAAGTCTCGCTTCCGGAGACGATCTATCCAACCATAATCTCCAAACATCTCGGCAGCCCGATGAATTTTGACCTCCACTGAATTAGAGCGGCTGCGGTTTGCCTGTGCCTTCAGGTTTTCCGCTTCTGCCTTGGCCAGGCTACTCCGAGTAGTCATTCTAGTCACCACCGGTTCGGGCTCGGGAGTTTCTTCGACTTCCTCTTCTTGATCCTCTTCGTCGGATTCGGAGTCATCTGCTGGAAGGTCGGGGAGCGATATCTGCACAGCACCATTTTCATCCTTCTCGGAATTTACCAGCTTCTTCAAAACAGCACAATGTACCTCAACGAGCAGTTCGCAGTCTACTTCCTCAGATGAAAAGCGCATGGCCTGGAGAAAATCGTCGAAGGTAAACGAGTCCAACTGAAAAACTTCACAGTACACGTTGAGAGTATTCCACGTCTCAAGAAGCAATCCAACTGACTTCATGTCGATGTCGTCATGCAGCAAGTCTTCATCATCAGGACCGTCTGTCTCGTCGACTTTCAAGAACTTCAGAGCTGGCCTTTGCTTTTTCTTTTCGCGGTCCGGTGCGATATCTAGATCCTCGATAGGATATTTGATCGGAGGAGGGGATGGTGGTCTAGGGGTTTCAGTCTTGACGACCACTGCAGTAGCAGTCTGCGATTTCTTTTCGGTATCCTGAGATTTGGACGAACGAGCGGCTCCCGAGGTTTTGTTGCTGACAACAAAAGTCGGGTTGCCATTGAGAGACCTTTGATATTCAAGGAACTGCGCCTCCTTGGACCGCGCCAAATCCTGTTGGGAAAGTTTGGACTTTTGGCCCTTCACGGCAGGTTTTAATTCAGGTAGTTGCTGTGATGCGAAAAACCCGAAGAAACCCTCTTGGTCAGCCTTCTTCATCGCCTTCTTTTCTGCGACCTTAGCTCCGTATTGCAGGTGTTTCGGTACCTCCGTGGGAATTCTGTATTCTTCCGCAATTGATGGTTTCACTAACCAGGGAGCGCCGTTCCATGACTCCCGCGTTACATTGTTCTTGATAAAAGCACGCAACATCTGTTTCGTGAAAGTCTTCCGATCTCGAGTAATGTGCTCTTGGTCCAATAGAGCTTCCTCATTCGGACGATCTAGCACTTTTACGAGATATGTCGCGTACGCTGGTGCTTTAACGGTGCCGTCCGGATGCAGTTGTTCTGCGAAATTGGCTTTGTCTCTGATCATACCATGTAAACGTGTGTTATCATCCAGCAATATCAATACCGGTTCGCCAGGGTAAAAGTCCTGCTTATACTCCTGTATTTGTTGAGTATCAAGTTAGATCATGAGCCAACTCATCTACGATCGTCTAACTCACTTCATAAATCTCATCCACTGTACATCCAGCTGTTAGTTTTCAGAAACTTAAGGAACACAGAACTTGCCATACGCACCAAGGTTGTCGACCCGCGATACAGTGGAGAATTGAATCCTTCGCAAGATGGGCTCCTTCAAAGCGTCAGGGAATGTGTTATTAACTTCCCGCGATTCCTCCAGCTAGTAATAAGACTCAGTATTGGCACCTTAGCAGTAGAACAAGCACAGAGACGTACTTCCGACCTAAGCGCTTCGAAGAATGTCAAGCCTGAATGGCCTGTAATCTCGCAGATAAATCTTCTCTGTTTGTAGAAGTCCATTCGCTGAAGATACGGCTCATACTGAGTAAAGACTTCGTTGGTCTCCGGGATGACCCAGACCTATATAACCGTTGTAAGCATATGTGTCTCCATTGCCCTTGTTGAATGCACATGCCTCGGAACTGTCATCTTCAATAACGGGTCGGGGAAGGTATTGGACGGGCTTCCGCTTGAACAGCACCTAAAATATTGTAAGCAGGCCTCGTTCGCTATATTTGTCTTCTTCTAGCAAATTCGGCGGGCAACACGTAGCCGTGAAAGCTTGCAACGTACCATGGTCCTCTAGGGAATGGAAGAAATGCGCCAATTTAGCATAGATTATTGGTGATGTCGTTGAACATGGACGATCTGCATAATCGGAAGAGACTGTTAGTTCGGTAGACAACAGCGCAAACCAAGGGCGCATGGCAGAACAAAGAGTTGAGGCAAATGGAGTGTGGCCAATGCTGCAAATGGAATTGGCAGTGTTGGGGACAAGGACGCAGGCGCGAACGTATTGCGCGGAGAAGCTCCGGAGCTGTGGCGGAGCTGTAGAGGTATATTCGTAGATCCACCCAAAGCAAAATCGCCAAATACCAGACGAGATAGGTCGTGTGAAGAGAACTTACTGAACGAACGCGTCTCCAATCGCGCTGCACACGGGTGCGCGGGAGTATGGTAGCCCCGACACGAGAACAAAAATCCAGAAAATCGTGTAGCTGCAAGAGAGCTCGGCAGCAATGTGGATCCGCAATGCTGGTTGATATCCAAAAACCAGGTGTCGTGTGGGAGGTCGCGTGAGGAAGGACGAGGACGAGATAGTATGAAAGAAGAAGAAGAAAATGAAGAATCTCCAGAGAAAGAGAAAGGAGAAGCGGTCGCCGCAACGGCAGAACCACCGGGCCATGAGGATCATTGCGGCAAGTGGTGGGAGGGCCGCCGAGGCACGGCGGACGATGATTGGACGAGAGGAGGAGAACTGGCCGAACAAGATGTCGGGCGGACAAAGGACGGCTATACCCGATAGGGAGTAACGCTGAAGGAGTGTGGGAGGGTGCAAGCACTGACTCTCCCCCCATCGCTTCTTGACCCTCTCTACCACCTCGCATCCCCCCAATTATACTAGTATTTGCACTTGTTCGGCTCGTTATTTTCTGTAGATTTTTATGCTATTCTACTTATACGTTATAATCTTCCTATTTCTCCGTAGGCCCTTGATATCAGCATGAGACGTTGGACCATTTCCACGGGGAGTAGTTGGACTACTAGGGTTAATGATGGATAGCCACCACATATACTATACGTCCACAATCAAGAGTTTCCTGGTGAAATATACACCACTGCTTCGCGCAAATCCATCTTTTGTGGTAATTCATGTTTTACTAACTCGGATATTTAAATGCTACTGGAAGCAAGGAAAGGTTTCTGGGATATCCAACATTGGATACTCGGCTGGTCATTTATACAGCCCTCCCCGCCACGACCTCAACAATTACACTTCTATAGCTCAAGGATCATCTGTGCACGCAAGGTAGACAACTACTCATCGCTTCTCCTCGGTCTTGTTTGAAAAGACTACCTTTATTTCAATTTTCCCATACATCATTGCCAAGTAGCAGCTCTTGCTAAAGTATCAAACTTTCAAGCTATATCGCCATCAAAGCTGACGTTCCATGTATAGTACATAATAAACGCTTTATGTTTGCTATATGTATCTTTATATATCGTTCGATGACGTCGTTGGTCTCGCTATCTCCCAATAATAAAATTCGAAATATGTTTCGCCTCATGCAAAGCTACCCCCGATGCTTGCACGAATGCGAGAGATCCCCAGAATTCTACGCCCTTCTAGTTCATAACAGACAAGAATCTAATATAAAATGGTGGTTCTGACTTTCTTTGTGTACTAGTGAGACAGTATTGCCTCTGCAGTTTTCACGCTTTACACTATGAAGAACATTTTCCCGGTTATATGGTTAGGAATGGACGATGCTATGGTCAACCTGAAGGAGATCTTCTATCTACTTATGCTACATCTGTGGAGTCAATATTTAAAGTATAGCTTAGAAAACTCAGGCGATTGTAGCATCTGAGCAGAATTACGTGGTTAGAAGTACCAGTGACTACGCTACAGTTTCACCCAGGTATCATTATATATACAAGCGATATACAAATGACATGTCATGGGATACTCACCAAGGGAGTGTTTAGTACTCGCAGAAATTGTTTAGATAGGTTGTATGTTTATTGAATCCAACATTAGCTTATATTGATATTTCAGCATCGAAATAATAAGTCAGGCAAGTGTAAAGAACAATGGGAGCATTTGTCATAGAAACAAAGAAAGGCGGCTGCGACTACGAGTAGAATCACTAGAATCTGATTTCCATCAATTAAAAGACACTTACTCACTTGTTGGTTGGGGAAAGAGAGCAAAAGGAAGAGAAAAAATGGAGAGAGAATGCAAAGTGGCTGTGATCCATCACTTGACGGATACCGGAAAATATACTTCGACGTCGGAACATGACGAATGCAAATAACCATTTAGACTGATAGCGCTAGAGTTCCTGACTGATAACGTAACCATAAGAATACATAGATAGGTATTTAGTACCAGTTAATGGACTAATTAGCTTAATAACACCATTAGTTTATGTTCGCTAGGCCATTGTATTTGATGTTAAGATTGCTGTAACTTCCTGCAGTGTCACATCCATGGGATCGGTCATCTTTAAAGGTTGAGCCTAACCTGTTTGGGCCTGAAGGCTGATAAACTTTGCAAATTTGGATGATCCAGTGGGTCCACATCCGAAGCACGTGGATTCAGTCAAACAGATCAAACATTCGATAGTTCCGAGAGCCGTTAATTACATCATTGTTGGCATTTGAGACTCTCATTTCCTGAGACTCATGTGTAACACAACCACAACACGCAATAGTACTATCCTTTACGAACTATACCTACTATCGCAAGATTATCAAGAAGGTATCTCATATTAAGACTCTATAAGTTCTTGTATTATGCGGTAAAGTACACAACCATGAATCCTATCCAACTGCCTACTACCCCCAAGGCGGAATAGCTGCTCATGAACATCAACGGCAAGAACTCGTACCGTTCCAGACCAAAAATCAGCTGGTGTAGAAGTGAGCAGTAGATAATCAACGGAATGGCCACTGCGAGGTATAGCAAGGAGAAGCGGTCAACAATCGGGAAAATCCGTGGTCGTTCGGGCACAGGTGCTACCTGCTCAAATACAAACAGGAACAAGACCAGCCAAAAGACGGTGTATACGGTCTTGATAGGAAACTCGGCCGCAGTAAATAGCAAAGGGAATAGGGAGACATGTCCAGCTATCGCAAGAGACCTAAATGCGCTGAAGTACCGCCTGTCTCTAAGGGCTATGAGACTGAAAGGTATGATGATCAGGAGGACGGCTTTTTCATGAACATGCCAGCCGAATAGGAAGGAAGCATATCCACAAAGCGTAATGGCACCAACAAATACGTCCCAGTCGCCAGGGCTACGCCACAACTTGATCAACGGAAGCTACATCTCCATGAGTACAAGCATCGGTGAGTTATGTAGAATATTGAAATCACGTACCAGCTGAAACAGAAAGGTAAGCGCAAAAGTGTGTTCCTTGGCTACCTCTGGAAGGACGGCAAACGAGGTGTCTCCGACCAGACCCCGTGTAACACTCGTTAGGGCCTCCTGGTTAATAGAAAGGCCCAGACGTGGGGCAACTATCAAAATTAGCCATGCCACACAAAAGCTCGGGGCACTAGTACATACGTAAAATGAGGGCACGGTCTGCAAAGGAATACATTGCCCAAATGTTGGGCGCCCAGTAGGCATGGCACAGACCCCTCGAGAACGGGAAGAGCCGATCTTTCAATTGGAGCAACTGATTCCAATAGACGAATGGACCAAATGCTACGGCAAACACACTGATGACACCCAGACCAAGCTTGAAAATATTTGCAAATCTGGGTCGAAAGACCGACTTAGGGTCAAGGCAGTAACTTCTCAGCAGGTAGACAAAGTAAGCCAACGACAGATAGAGATGAATGTGTTTCATGCAGAGCAAAATGGCAAAAGTGATGCCGCTGTAGAGGAGCGTCGACTGTTTTCGTGCAAGTACGATGGACAGGATCAGAACCCCGTACATGAAGCCGTTATACTGGAAATGGATGTGATCGATGATTAGCAGGCCGGGCGACAACAGAATTGAGAGGCTGGTGATATGCGCAAGTTGCTTATTAGATGGAGGCGCAGACTTGATGAAGCTAGATTACCATGTTAGTCTTGGTAGCCACCTTCTTAGGAGACTGCGAAACAGAAGCTGTACCAGTTCAATGCGAAGACGAGAACAAGTTCACTAAGGATAACAGTTGCTCGCTGAAAGTAAATTGTCTGCCAGGAATCATAATTGAGATTCTTGACAATCAACATTGCAGGATCTGCATACTGCGCCGCCTGAGACAATAGCCACTCGAATGCCGCGAAAAAAGGGGGATAGTCGAGTGTCCATTCTGATGTTTTCTAACCGGGGATCCGTTTCAGTATAGAGGAAAACGGAGAGTATGCGGAGTTCGCAGCATACCTCGTAGTACCACTCCTTGACAGGTAATGAATGTGTGATCGCGAGCCAGTTCCGGTGAACCTCGAAGTCAGTCGATTTGCTACAAGTAAAAGCCGGGAGTCAGCGCGAGGTAAAGATTGGCAGACATATACATGCTTCTTTGGGTTTCAATTGGACCAACATACTAGGCGGGGAAAAGGAGAACCTTGAAGGCTGTAGCGACAATGGCGCATTGCGCCAGAGAAGGGTATAGGTCAGCCATTGGAGCTGTTGCGCATGGTGCGCTGTCAAAGACACGGGAGATAACGAACGTGGAGCATTAATGTTCCTGCCAGAAGAGAAATCCCCATAGAACGGAGGATCCTCTCGATAATCTGGGGGGAGCTGTTCACGTGACACGCGGATGCCCACCGACAAAGGCCAGTGTGTCCCTTCGGCATATCATACCGATCGATTTAGTGGTCAAGTAGCAGCAGCTTTCATGGAATTAGCTTCGGACGTAGGAGTCCGTCATTCTGTCGTTCTCTCCAATCTCAACATTCAACATTTGGTCGACTTTTCACCGGCGACCGTCTCAATTGTCAGAGAGATCCGCTACTGTGTGATCGCCATTGTGCTTGGGTGGACCACTACTCGTGTTGTCTCCGCGCTATTGAATCGAAGAGCTACGCCTGATCAGTGACGCTTTTGATACCCAGTGGTCAATCCGTTTTGCTTCTGTTCTTTTGGTCTTTTTCTTTGAATTATTGAACACGCTTTTGTCACCATTCCCATAGATCAACAGGGCACTTCCCTAACAAGTAGTGATACTTGATTGATTGTATAGACACTATGAAGTTTTCGGCTTCTTTACCACTGTTCGCTGCTCTCGCTGCGGCACAAACTGTGATTGAAGGCTCTAGCTTCGGTCATGGCCAAACGTAATGAACCACTTCATTGACCATGCATTGCGTACCATCATCCTGACATCTTTTCTAGGCTATCACCCACCAGGGACACCATCCCGGGATGGTCAATTGGAGGAGAAGGACATGCTCCCCAAGTTGTATGTCTTCGTTGTTCAACTGATTTAACAAATGGCGAAAAGCGTTTCTGACTTCACTAGCTCTCCAACAAGCTAATTCTTACTCCCCCTTACCCTGGCAACACAAGAGGGTTTGCCTGGTCCCAGGCCCCGTGAGTTAGAATTGGTCCACGGTTATATGCTTTGGAATCGCTAACAATGAACATAGGGTTTCCCAGTCTGAATGGTCAGCTGAATTCCAGTTCCGAGCATCTGGAGTTGAGAGAGGAGGGGGCAACCTCCAGCTCTGGTATGCTAAAGATGGTCAGACCAAGATTGGCACTTCTAGCATTTACACTGTTGGCCAATGGGATGGATTCGCGCTCGTCGTTGATATGCACGGCGGAAGAGTGAGCCTCATGATTCTGGCTTGATTATTATTACTGACATCATACTAGCGCGGTAGCATTAGAGGGTTCCTCAACGATGGCACAACAGACTACAAGAGCCATAGAAGTGTAGACAGCCTTGCGTTTGGACACTGCGACTACTCTTATCGCAACCTGGGACGGGCTTCCATTGTTCGTATCAAGCATACAAATGCCAACTTGGAAGTTACCGTCGATGACAATTTATGCTTCGCAACGGACAAGGTTTCTCTTCCTGCTGGCAACACCTTCGGTGTAACGGCCGCGACACCAGAGAACCCCGACTCTTTCGAGGTCTTCAAGTTTGTCCTGCAGACTGCTCAGTCCGGCGCAGCCCCACCAGTCCAGCAGCAAAACAACCAGCAGCAAGAGCAGCAAGAGCAGCAAGAGCAGCAGCAGCAGCAGCAGCAGCAGCAACAGCAACAGCCAGTGGCCGCCCAAGCCCAAACGCAGCAACAACCCCGGACCGACCAGTTCGTTGACCTCGCTGCTCGCATCGAACTCGTTAACAAGGCCACCGGCAACGTCATCCGCGAGATCGGCAACCAAGGCAAGCAGAATGAGAACCGCCACCTCGATCTCCAGCAGAAACTCGCAACTAAGGAGCAAGTCGCCGGCCTCGACGCTCGCCTGCAGAAGATTGAGCAGATGCTGCAAACCATTCAGCGCGATCTGGAAGGCAAGGACTACCACAGCCGCTTCAACCAGCTCCAGGATACCCTCCGCTCTTCTCACCAGACCTTGACTGAGCACCTCCAAGGCTCTGTCCTCAGCGGTATGTCTATCCGTCCTAGGTATCCGTTCATAAACCAGATACTAACGTTATGAATAGCAATCACCGCCTCTACTCCACGCATGGGTTTCTTCATCTTCCTCATCATCGCCTTCCAGGTCTTCTTGGCAGTCTCTTACATCGTCTACAAGCGCCGCCGTGCAAACATGCCCAAAAAATTCCTCTAAACTGAAAACAACAACCCACAAGACTAGTGTTGGAAATTACCCAACACATGATACGCAATATTCGTTTCACCATCCTCAATTCCATGCCTCAACTCCACGGACATGGACACGGAATCCCAAATCCACGAAAGTCATGTAGTAACGCGAACTTTGCATCGGCTTTGTACTGCTCCTCACCTCTATTTCGGCGTGTATATGCTTTGAAGGAAGACTTTTGTTTGGAAGTCGCGATGTAGTCTTGTTGTGTTTTGTTATAGTTTTTTGGGCCGTTGTATATCTAGATTTATTCCTATCTGTTTTATCCTGGAAATTGTGTTTTTTCGGGCTTGTAAGATTGCGGACTGCAGATCACTATCATTGACCAGTCTGAAAAGATTCTGCGACATAAAAACTCTACAGAGGAAACAAACAGAAAAACACACCAATGAGAATGCTAAAAATCCCACCCTCCATGCCTTGCCAAATAATGCGAGATAGAGAAATCTAAAAGTATCGTACAAAAAGGATATGTATCCACCTGGGTTGTCTGCGGCGTACTAGTATGCCTCAAACCAACCACCACTAGGAACTATAAAATGAGAAGTATGGGATATTGGAAGTCTGCCGAAACAACAAGATCGTCACAACATTAAACGGTTTCCTTACGCCAACAGAGAAGTTTGTCCAATTCACTGCCCATGTATTAAGGGGGGACGAATAGCCACAAGCGCTCGGAGACGGAGTAGGATGAGGAGCGATATTCATATAACCCAGGAGGCACAAAGCTCGGATATCACCAATAGGCACCTTTGGTTATGTGCTGGCAGATGGGTTGGTTGGTTGAGCGTCCATAAGCTCGACGTCTGGAGAATTGGCGGCCGAAGATTCAGCTGGAGTAGACTGAGTCCTTAGATTTGTTATGCGTAGTTCAATCAATCGTTGCAAAGATCGAAGTGATGCAATCTCACTCTCGGCCGAGGGCATAAAGTCTGGCGGTACGTTTGCTTTCAACTGATCGATGAGGAGGCTGATCTTGCTGTCCTCGACTTCGGCAGTGTTGCCTTGGGCAAAGGTGATCAAATTTGCCGCGGCCTCTCGCTCAGCGGCAGTACGGGAGTTGAGAATCGCTGTAGTTGTGTCCTCTCCTATCGCTTCTGGGTTCTGAGTTGCATAGAACATGTGGGCCTTGGACGTAAGTTCGTCATGGCGTTGGCGAACATACTCAAAGTATTTGTCAGCGACAGCTTTCTTCATCGCAAGTTCTTCGTTTTCTCTGCAAGTATCATTAGATAAAGTGAAGTTAGACGTATTACCCGAGAATATACTAACCGTTTAACTCGTTGGATAAAATCGAGCTTAATCCCTTTCTCCGAGACACGATACATGATACCCTCTTCCTCCTGCTCCTCTATCTTTTCGTCTTCTTCTTCATCCGGAAGTATTTCAACGTCTATCAAACGAGGGTGTTTCGGACGGCGAATACGTTTCACCAAATCGTATCCCTCCTCGTCTTGAACAATGAAGAACTTGTCATGCCAACTGTGGTCGGGGCACATCCAGCTATGATATGTACGATCACTCCCCGGTTTTTGGGCGGGGGGTATAGCTAGAGGAGGATCTATACAGTCCATATGGAAGGCGAGAGGACAGAAATCGCATTGAATAATGGGCCGACGACCGTTGGTGGTACGGCCACAGCCATGGCAAAGAATGAGTTTGCCCTTCGCATCCACTGTTCTCAACAGGAATGGATCATCATACCGACCAGAGCGATTCCTCCCGCTCCGAGGATTGATTCTGGGAAAGGGTAAGACCTCATCGTATTGCCCTTTATCGCCCGTTTGCACCCCAGCAAAATAGCCACGCAAACGAGAGGGTAGAGCGAAGTCTTTATGCGGAACCTTATCCACAGCGACAAGCAATGTACCCATGGGTTTCAGGATGGAGCATCTCGGACAGAACCAATCCCCTTCTGGCGGGTTTGCGGGGTCCAGGGGTGGATTGAGACAGGAGAAGTGGAAAGAGTTCACACATCCGTCGCAGCATAAAAGCTGACCGCTTCCGTTGCATTCACGACAGAAATCATTGTTCTCCTCGCCATTCTCCCTATTGTTAGCCATTGTAGGGGTTAAGCGCCGGTTGTCTCCAGCATCGCTACTTGCCGGACTCTCTGATCTTTCCCTCTGGTCGGTAACGGCTCCGTCGGCGGCGGCCTGGGACTGGCTGGCCATAGTTGCTGCAGGGGTTGTGATACCAGAAGGGGGTTCAGAAGCGAGTGATGAACGGAGTCTACTCTCAGTTGCAGTGATTTTCGGGAAAGACCTTTGTAAGCGAGTCCGTTTGGCCTTGACGGCTTCTGCCGAAAATTCGGGATTTTCTTCCAATGCAAGCCTTCGCTGAAGAGTTGTATCAGTAGATGGGAATGCGGAGCGGCGACTTGAGGGTTCTGAAGCTTCACTATCCACAGCCTTCTGTGTAGATTTGGAGTGCTTTCCTCTACCGCGAGAGCGAGCGTTCGCCGCTCCTGGTGCCATTCCCGGGGCGAATGTTTCGGCATCGAGTGACTTAGCAGAAGACAGTGAAGACACACTACTGGCAGACCGCGTACGCCCCATAGCTGGCGTCGCAGCAGGCAATACTTCTGTGTTTTCCTCCGACTGCACCTCTTTCCAGGCAGTGCGCATCACAGTCTGGAACACTGATTGTTCACGGGCCCCAGGATTCGCTCCACAGACACCCTCCAAAACAGATAGAGCAAAAGAATCTTTGCCACATGTCTCCCAGAGGCGGAGTAGTCCACGAATGACTGGACGATTACCAGTCTCGGAAGCCATATGGAGGGCGTTCTCAACTGCGGAGCGAAGTTTCACTACATCAACATCGGTTGAATCAGGGACAGGAAGTGTTGTAAATGCAGTCACATCCTGCGCATTATTGTCCTTTGGTATAACAGGCTCAGGCATCGGTTCTTCAGCAGGTGTCAATGGTGTTTGCGGCTTGCTGATCTCTTTATCCCCGTTCTGCACTGACCGCTGGTCTTTCTTGGCAGTAGTATTATGTGTACTTGGCTTGAGAGGGCCTAATCCTGCTTTGCGCATGTCTGCTGCAGATGGCATTGTCCCTAAGGGACGCATAGTTGCAAGGACTGGGTTGTTGTCACTCGAAACAGCTGACCACGGCGTGTCTCTGTAGCTCGGAGCCGGAGCCCTCACCGGTGGCTCAACCCATTCCGCTCCTTTCTCTGACAATTGTGAATCGCTGACCGTATCCGATATCCCAGTCTTAAACTGCCCTAATTGCGATTGATCTTGAGATGGTGTTCCATGCGGAGGATCTGTGGCTACACGGCTGTGTCTGCCCGTCCGTCGTTGCTTTCGAGGCCTCGTAGATTCGGTGAATGAAGAAGCGGGACTCGGGGCATCTGGCGCACGGAGCGGCGTTGATGGGCGAGAGTCGTTCGACCTGACATGGGACGAAGAGCGGAGATTCGGAGCCATCGTTGGAGAACCAGGGCTCGAAAAGTTGCAACACCTGGGGTACGCAGGGTTAGCGCAAAGGACCATGGAAGTTATTTTGTTTATTTAGAAACAGAGAAATACTCACTATTAAATAGAACCCGCAAGCAGACAGCGAAAGTGCCCTGCGGTGCCGGTGGGAGACGTGGCCAGCCCGCGCGCTGTCTGCGGGTTGATGGGAAGGAGGAAGATTGCGGAGTTAGAAGCGACGGGAGTTTTCGAGGACGAGTTCCCAATCACGCCTCGTAGGGGGTACGCCGCGGAGGCTGCCAACCAACCACAAAAAATTTGCGCGTTCAAACTAGCAGGCTTCCAGTCAGAATTGAGTAGCCCCATCTCAGTTTGTGATTTTAATCATTTAATTTTCTTACGAAACTCAAAGTGAGGGTTTCTTACCAGTAGGTCCTTTTGACTCGCCGCAAGGATCGTGGAGATAGAGAGACAATAGATCCACTGAGGCCAATTTATTGAAATGAGGGGGTCTGCCTTTAGTAACCTATAAATGAGGTTCCGAAGCCTTCGTAAATCCCTTGTGATGAGAAGTTGTGTTGTTTAGTAAAACGACGTGTTCTTTGTCTTGAATAGGTTAATAGATGATGCATCAAAAGCAGGTATTGTAAGATGCGAACAATCAACCATATGCAGAATAGCAACGGCAAGCAAGGGAAGTGTGTAAGCCAGAACTTTCAAATACAGACACCACCAAGACACATCGCTGTGTACATAGTGAACCCCCAAAGAGCAGTACGGCGGTCTCCTGACAGCGGGCAAACAAAGGGGTAGGCGCCGGCAGCCATGTAGATATAGAGAAGAACTCACCAAGGATGTGAGAGACCTCTGAGGTAAACTCTGGCAAAATTCAAAGAAAGGCGACGTGCGGTCTTTGCTTATAGCGTAGATACCCGGGCACGCGAGAACAGGCTGTACCTGGAAAGAGAGTGCCTAGCAGGGCTTGGTTGAGAGGCCAAAAGTGGAAGACGCAAGGATAAGATACTCGACAAGAGTTGAGATCGTTCTATTCTCTTGAGAGAGGAAGGGAGGCGTGAGACGGAAGCAGTGCGAAGTGAAAGCAGGCGTTGGATGATAGAAGAGGAATAGGAATCCCAAAGGAGAAGTAACAAAAGGCAGTCAAACAGTACAATAGAATTCACAGCAGAGAAACCTGAGATATAACACGAGTATTTCTGCCACGCAAATGCGACGGACTTGATGAGTGAGGTTTCTGTGTTGCTTCAAGTATCAAGCAGATTGATGACAGATAGGAGGGGTTGGCCTTCATGCACAGGTGGATAGATGCCAGCCTACACCACGGATACAACAAAACATACACTACCCAAGAATCACTTTAACTCAGGTTACTGAAAGCGAGAGCTGGGGAGACCTGAACAGAAGATCTGTACTGAGGGTGATTCTCAGGGGATGAAAAGGTCTGAGGTGAGCCAATAGCAGGGAGAGGAGAATAAGGCTGCAGAGCGAGAATCACAGATACTAATGGGCTCCAGATTTCTTTACATGCATAAAGATGCTAGCCCCAGACTGGAAATATGAAATCTCCAACTGCGAGGGGTCGAGAAAGAAGATAAGGATGAGGGGACTGGAAGGGGTGAGACTGATGGAAGGAAGATTGGAAGAGGAATCAGGATTGGAAACGGAACAACCAGCCCTGCTTGTTTGGCCCACACCACCAAATGACAGCGCCGAATGACCACCACAATGCACCACAGTCAACTCAAGTCCAACACTTGTCAAAGATGGAAATGCATATTCATCTGACGAGTCAAGAGAAA